GATATGTGATACTATTATATGCATAGCAAATAGATGTATATACTTACAATTTTTTAATACAAGTAAAAATATTTCTTACTGGTTATACATAAATGCCTTTTTTTGCAAGAGTTGATACATGTTTGTTTATTCGACAACAGTCCCGCAATAAAAATGTAAAGTAGAAGAGACTAGGCTTTCTTTGAAAATCCCATATATATATGTTTATTGTCCCGTTGTATGGTAAAGTTACGGCTAGACCTGCAAAACCCTGGATAGAGTCCCGTCGGAGGTGGTGATCAGACCGAGTGAGGTCAAGACTATAGTCCTGATCGAATGAGACAGCCTTTTGGCAGTTGAGGTCAGGGGACTTTCATTGGTATCACTCAGTATTACACTCACTTCATCGTGGGATGTTCAGGGAGAACAAAGAGTTCTGACTGAGCACAGACAACAAGGGGTGATAAACGCGTTGTATCTATCTGACATAATTTGGGACGACTTACAGACGTGATGAGTTGATTATGGAGTTGGCCCACTAATTCTACTTCAACAGTATCAACTTTCAGAGGAGGTGGAATTGATGCTCCAGTTTCTATTGGACCGAGGCGACAGAGCTTAAAGATGCACTAATAAGTGTTGACGAGCTCAGTTGAGTGGCTCCAATTTTGTGGATACAGAGACGACATCCCAGCTTTGAGGATAACGGTAAGAGGGTACAAGAAACGAAATGTGATTCCTCGGTTCCGTTTAAGCTGATCTGCCAGACCTGTCAGCGTTGTTAAGGTGGCCATCCTCGTAGAGACGGCGCCTGCGGTATGAAGTTCCATGGCCAGGTCGGATGTCTGTAGACGGAAAGACGATTAGGCCAGGCGAAATAGACTTCAATGTCTGATCTGTCATGAGCGAAGAGCGACAAGGTTTGCTGTAAGCAAGGTTTAGATGTTCTTTTATATTCGAGCCACTGTGGAAGCTCGTCTTATTCGTCTGTTTGTTGGATTTAGAGTACTAATCTGCAAGTATAAATGCTCATCAAAGGTTGCTATGGGGCTTACAGGCAAATACTAGTCATGTGATTAGCAGCCAAAAGGGTTCTTTTTACATAAGATCACATGCTTCAGTTGGTAGTTCTTTCAGAAGTCTCAGCATTGTTCTCAAGTCATCAATGCTAATTCAGCCCA